GTAATTCTAATAAAGTAAAAATTTTTGTTTAGAATAAATAATTTAAACAACGATAAGTTATATTTGAATAAGTATTATTAAGATTTACCATCATCACTCAAGACTTCATAAGCTTCATTTATAGCACTCATTCTAACGGCAACTTGATCCTGAGATAAATCACCTTTGTATTTGTCAGGATGCCATTCTTGTGCCAATTTTCGATATGCTCTTTTGATTTCTTTCTTATCCGCTTTCCTTGAAACACCTAAAATTTTGTAATAATCTTTCTTCTTAGACTGTTTGAGCATACGATCAGCTTTTAAATAGCCTTGTTTAATACGATTGTCAAGTCCTTGCGTCAAATCATGAGCTTTTTTGTAATCATTTAATGCTGCTTCATAATCTTCTTCTTCTATTAATACTTCAGCCCGATTAATCAGTGCTTCTACATTATTTTCATCTAACTTCAAAGTGTTACCACACCATTGCAACGCTTTTTTATATTCTTTTAACTATGATAAATAATAAAATAATAAAAATATAGTTAATTACTAATTCACAAAAACGTTCTAGAGTTACCAACCCGAAAAAATTTCGCTAACCATCATTAGTGATAGGATTTGTGTATATTTATAAATTTAAGTTATAATTTATCTTGAAACTTAATTTGGTCAGATAGCAAAAATTTTTTGAATTGGTAATGCTAGGACAATTAATTCACAATGCAGTTTAATAATAAATAAGTGTGTATTCTTACCTCTTTATATGCTTTACAAGTCCATCCGTATAATTTTGCTAACAATTCATTTCGTTGGCGACCTTCGTTTAAATTCTGAAGTTCATCTTCAATTTCATTTATAAGGCCTTTATTGAGTGGTTCTAGCAACTTGCTTATTGCTTTCTTCCACCTGTGTCCCTCAATATCGTTATTAACTCTATCCACTGTTTTTTCAATCTTCTTAATAAATCTATGAAGTGTTTTACATGCTTTGTGCTCGGGATCATAACGAAGGCATTGTTTAAGACTTTGAAGTGCTTGTTCCGGATTATATAGCGAAAAATAATTTAGTAAACATAGGCGTATCGAAAGTTCCGGATCATCAGGCTTCAATTGCGAAGCAGAACTAAAAAAGAAATAAAATAAAATAATAATAAATAAATAAATATAATAAATAAAAAAGAAATAGAAATTCATTA